TCCTCCACCGGCTTTACAAGAATTTATACGCTTGTTTGGTTAATGAATGTCTCCTCCTGTGAGCTTCCTGAAGGCCGGGATCTGTGGTTGTGCAAGAGCCCCTATCTCGTGTTTTGTTTGTCACCACGCTTCCTAGGCGGTTCCTAAAGCCTGGGTGCGGGTGTGTGGGTGCGGGTGTGTGGGACGGGGACCAGGGTGAACGGATGAACGGATGAACGAACGGAGTAGTTCAGGTTAGGCCCCTGGGGAGCTCTTCTGATAGTCCTAAACTGACCCTCCTTCCCCCTGGACGGTCAGACGGAGTCACAGGATTCCCTCCCTGCCTGCACCTTGGGTGGGCTCCTAGACTAGAACTCCATCGCCCGCCTTCACCCTTCTCCTGAGCCCTCTCTTCAAATGTTCCTGCTCAGGACTAGCCGTAAAACCACAACTATCTCCCCTGCCTTCGTCCTGCCTGGAGAGAGTGGACCTCCTGGCACAGGTCCCGAACAGGCATGTGGCAGGATTCAGTAATTCTTGATAAACTGGAAGGAGAGGACACGGTGGGTGTTGTTAACTGTCCTAAGCTGGTTCAGTAATCCTTCAGTTTGCTAAGTGGTGTGTTTTTCATTCCCACTACCAAGTGGTAGATGACACTGAAAAACAAGTCGTGTGTCAAAGGCTCCAAAAATATTGTTTTTATTAGTAGCTAGGTCTGTCCTCCGGCAATGAAAAGGTTGTGGCCCTTTTGAACTGTCAGCAGCTACAATCACTAGCACAGATCGTCACAAGACTAGGTCCCCTGACCCCTGTAGTGAGGGTGGTATTCAAGCAGCCCCGCCCCCTTCCTGATTTCTGGGAAAGGTCTTGTCTTCCTTCTCTTCTATAATTAGCTACAGAGCAATGGGTTTCCTTATAACATTTTCGTGTCTATATATAGTTTTGTTTGACTGCCACCATCACCCCTTCTCTTCCTCCATCTTTTCTGTTCCTCACTCCCATCCTTAGGATTCCGCTTTCAAAGCACAGTGCTCTATTATCCTCTCCTCTCTTGTCCTCTCATGTGTGCTAGCCTTAAACACACTCCCACCCAAATACAAACACATAAAAGTTAGAAATTAGAAAGACTTTCATATAAGAGAGAATGTGGGGGCTGGAGAGGTGGCTCAGCGGTTAAGAGCACTGACTGTTCTTCCAGAGGTCCTGAGTTCAATTCCCAGCAACCACATGGTGGCTCACAACCACCTTGAAGGAGATCTGGTACCCTATGCTGCCATGCAGGCAGAAGACTGTATACATAATAAATAAATAAAATCTTTAAAAGAGAGAGAGAATGTGTGTGTGATGCTGAGCCTGGGGCAACCTTGAATTAATAGTCTCCAGTTCCACCATTTCCCTCAAAATTTCATAATTCCACTTTGCTTTACAGCTGAATAAAAGCCGCTTATACAATATACATACACACTGCTTTTACTATCTGCCAGCGGATGGACATCTAGGTTGATTCCGTTCCCTTGGTTGTTGTGGATACAGCCAGGATAACACGAATGAGCAGATATCTCTGCAGCAGGGTGTCAAATCCTTTGGCCCAGAAGTGATATGTCTGGGTTGCATGGTAATTCTATTTTTAGCTTTTTAAGAAACACTATGTTTCCCATAGTGGCCACACCAGCTTACACTCCCACCCCATGGTGAATGAGGGTATGCAATGGTATGTCTTCTTGCTTCAGCTGCACTGACCTTGCTGTGGGTGAAGAGACATACGACTCTGGCTGCTCATCTGAGGGTGGATCAGTGTCTGCTGGTGGCCATCAAGTGGCAAGTTTCCTTGATGAATGAGTCTCCCACAAGAGTGCACGGACATCGTCACCAGAGTGACCCGCAGACTAGGCTGTGCATTACAATCTTGGAAAGTAGCAATATGGAAAGGGGGTTGGAATGGAAGCAGCTGTGGCATCAGTTGCATAGTCCCTGTCCTGGGCAATAAAGCCATGCAACTGAGCCTCCACTGTCCACCCAGAAATTTGCCCACATAAGGGAGGAATTACTGTTAGGGTTTGGTGGCAGAAGAGTACCTTGACAGACTGGGGCCAAAGAATGCTGCAGAAATCACACCACATAACAGCTCCCATGCAAGAGATATGTGCATGAGATTTACTCATGCAAGGATGAGGAGTGAAAGACCGCCTCTGAGCAAGGACAAGAGAGACAGAGAGACTGACCCAACCGTGATGGCGGGGACTCTTGAGAGGGCACGCATGTCGCATCTGGCACCTGGTGATGACATGGCTGTTGGTGCTGAGTCACTGTTACTATGTATGAACAAAAGGCATATAGATACTAGACTCTGAGGTGGCAGAGCTGCAGTCGGTGATTATTGGCTTGCAGTTTAAATGGTTGGGGAGAAGAGAATGTGAATTAAATCATGAGCTGAGGATGAAGCTCAGCTGGAAGAATGTTTGCCTAGAATGCATGAGAACCTGGTTTTTATCCCCAGTGCTACAGAAACCAGGTGTAGTGGTATACGTTCATAATCCCAGAATACAGCAGGTAAAGATAGAAGGCATCAGATCCAAAGGACACTACATTTCCCAAAATTCCAAAAGGTAGTCCAAATATCCAGAAATAAACTCAACCTGGCTAAAGGAGGATTTCTGGCAGTTAGATAAATGTCAGCGTTCCTCAGGAACTTTAAAGCTGGTTCCCCTCTACTAAAAGGGGTCATTTCCCTGATCACTGGCAGAAGGGACATATGGTTACCAAAACACAAGTTGGCTCCCAGGTTCCCCTAGTACCTGTTACACATTTCAGAATCCATGCTAGCATCCCAGCCCTTCTCACATCCTCCCCTGCCCTAAACTGCCCCCAGCACAGACTTTCCTCCTACCAGCTACTCATCCTAGTAACCCTGCTATGTTTTCTGATCTCTCATGGCCAAGTCCAGTCTGGCGGCCATACGGTCTCTACTTTGGACTCTTCCAGGTGCCTATATGTCTACATCTCATATCTACAATAAAAGCCTCCCCTTTTAA